TAACAACCAGCGAAGACTCGTACCTGAAGACGACAATTATTTGTCTTTTTGAGAACAGATAAGACTTCCCCACAGCACCCAAGGCAAATGGATACTGCAGTCTTCATACGACCCACTAAATAACAGCCCAAAATGGAAAGTAATGCGGCATAAGGAAGTACCACATGCCCTCTCTGTCCCAGGAATTAGAGAAGCAGACGTTTTCCACACCCTCTCTCAAAGGCAGGGCTGCTTCCTCTTCACGTATTCAGGATCCAGGCACTCCCCCACCCCCCCCACGTTACTCTGAAGCTGGTGCCGCGTTGCCATACTCATGGCTCATCGCTGAAAAGATGCGCAGTCCTAGAAGGAGGAAAGCCACTCTATCCGATAAAAGGCAGGCTACAGCACAACTCAGCGCCAGAAAAGGGATCCGAGCTGCGCCTAGGGAACACGCTCCGTCCTCGGGCCACTGCACGCACAGAGCATCATGCAGCAGAAACTTATCTCGAACCGTAGATGAACATCGCTGCTGCTGCTGCCTTCAGGAGCCTGCGAGGATACCAGCAGCAGGGCTGATAAGCTGAGAGGAGTCTCAGAATGTGGAGCTACTGAGTGCAGTAAAACTGCAAAAACCCCCCAACTTTGGAAGCTTCTCCTACCCTAAATACAACCTCACCATCCAGTGACATTTTGTCGGCCACAGGGGAGTTCAAGCAACCTCACATTTTAATTTGAAGTAGTTTGTTATTATTTCCACTTTACAGATCAAGGAAATAAACCTAGTGCTCAAGTTCACACAGCAACCTAAGGGAAAAAGTGAAAACAGGGCTGAGAACTCCTTATTCCCAATCCCAAACAGACAGCTTCTCTCCTCCCCACTTCAAACAGACGATTTATTTAGCTCTCTACTCACCGCTGGGAACCATTAAATCAATTTTGTTGCAAAAATCAGAGTAGCAGCAGTGAGTATTACGCAGATCTTCTGAACTCAGACAATAGAAGGGTTTCCCAAAAAATTTTGCTTCAGGAATGCAGGTCCGAACGTGATGTTTAACACCGTCCAGGTTGAAGACGGAGACCATGCACGCGCCGTCCGTTTCACAGGTGGAGTTTGCTTGTTTGCAGTCGGAGCACAAACACGTCAAAGCTGCAGAAATCAAAACAAGACCACTTCCTTAAAACCCACCAGAGACTCAGACAAGAGAGAACTTTCTTCTTTAAATTTCCCATTTCAGAGGGCACGGGCCATTCTTAGGCTCAGGAATTAGACTTCAGGAACAGAACCAGTCATACTCAGTATTTCAGACCCGCAAGAACACAATCGAAGCACAAAATACAACGTGGAAGCAGAGAAGCCTTTCCAGAAGATGACTGCCCAGACAGCCTCTTTTCCTGCCCCTGTTGCAATCACTAACAGAGATGACCCAAGTCATCCCTGCGAACTAGGCTAGATTTTACCAAGATCCACTCCCAACCCAACCTAGGGTCAGAAATCAAACTGAAAACAACAATTACTCAAACCGACAGACTGGATTTCACCTGAACTGCCTGTCCAGCCTTCCTCAGCTACGCCAAAGACGAGCCGCCCGTTACGGGTTAGCGAGGGACGACCACCCCAGCTCGTAGGAGACAACAAGCAGTTGGCAGATGCCAAAACAAAACCAATTCAAACCGACTACACAAGCCAAGCGTGCTACACCCAGCTAGATCAGTCACTTATTTAGTAACTGCTTTCCTGATCCGAGACACTACCTTGGGTCAAATACATTCCTGGCTTTTTGCCGGCTCGCCATGAAGATTATTTGGGTAAAGAGCGAAGGAGAAACTCCAAGGCAGATTCCCACATTTTTCTGCCTCCCAGCTGTCATTGTGCTTTTCTCAAGCTGCCTGAAAAACTGTAAGCAAATCCCCAGGCATGCCATCCTTGGGAACAAAGAGCGAATACAACAATGTCAAGAAGAAGGGTGGGGCTTGTTTAGCAGCACGCAGGATTTTCTTCAGCTTTCATCAGATCTTTCAGCCTCCCCGGAGGGATTCAGAAACATGTACTTACCCGCTGCAGAAATGGTCTTTCAGGTAGAGAGAGTTTGAAGAAGTGTGTTTTAAAACACACAAGAGCCACAGTTAATTCTCCCCACTCCGATCGCTAAATCCTCTACGTCTGCTTGCACCCTCTGCTCCTTTAGGAGGAAGACGCCCATTATCCCTTATCACCAGTGTCCTAGGTAAATCAGTCAGGCTAATTGCATTACTATTCACTTAATTCTCTCTGGACACTGTGTTCTTCATTTCCTAGCTGCTGTTGTGAGCTGCTTAACAGCTCCAAGGTGGGCTGCAGCATTTCAGACAGGCTAAATGCAGATGCGGGCGAGTTTCGAACCAACAGATTCACAACCGCAGAAGCAGTAAAAAGCCAGCAAAACCCAGAAGAGCTGTTAAGTGAGACGTCTTTAAAAAGCATCACAAGCAAATGTAGCTTATTACTATGTGCTTAGCACAGACCAAGGAAAAGGGACATAGACTAGAAAATGGGCAGGGAAGACCCTGAGAGTGAACGATATTGAGAAGGGTTGAGAGCACCGCACCCATGGATTATGCAGCTTTTAAGGGGGAACTTCATAATGAAAGGAAAAATACCCACTAATGATCAACTTGACAAACAACTCCGAGCACACGGTTTTCCAGTGGTCAGCAGAGCACAGAAAAGACAATTCTTCTGAAAAATACGCGCGCTTGGGGGAACAAAGGTTGGTTATAATGGAGTTTTTATGAAAACGTGAGAAAGGAAGGAGCAGCCAGGGCACATTCCTACCTTCAAGTATACTTAAAAGGAAGTAAGTGTTTTGAATAAAGCATCTCCTTCATTACTTTATCAAAAACTCAAGGTACAAATTAAAAAAAATTAAACCGCACACATTTCACCATGTAGGCTCTTTTCAACTTGATTCAGATACAGCAAAACTGAACTTTATTCCTGTTAGACTCACTTCTAAGGTCTCAAGCCCAAGATTTAGGCTACGGCAGTTGCGCTTCCAGAAGCTCAGAAGTAAACAAAACACTTCAAGGCACTAATAAAACTGGTTTTGTAAACTTCTTACTGAAGTACCTGGTCTGAAACTAAGCATCCGTTTGAGAAGGAAAGCAGAGGAGCTGGTTGTATCTGCTCAGTTTCGTTTGTAGAGTTTAAAAAAAAAAGAAAAAAAAAAGAAATCAGTTTACCTGCAAGGTATGATACCAGAGCCCCAGTGCACAGGGACAGAATAAGAAGATCTTTATCTGTTCTGTGTGGAAAGCAGAAGTTTCCTGCTAAGGAGGGGTATGCCCCACAGAGCACGGCCTCATTTCACCTCGTGCTGCTGTCAGCTGATGTTCCTCCTCTGAGACAACTGCTCTTTTTTAAGAGCAATTCTTACAGTTAGCACCTCAAAACCCCCTACGGTAAGGACAGCGGCGTGAACAAAGAAAACTAAGCCTTCGGCACACGTACGTACTTCTGCTACGCCTTTCAGGAGAGACCCTCGAGGGGCTTTCGAGATATTCCAGTCCATAACCTCTAGGCTGCAGGCAGGCACTCAAATTTTAGGAAAGATGGTCAGATCCCTGGGTAGAAGCTGAAGTCCAGCTCCAGCCTCCCTCGCGCAGCCAGGAGTCGACTGCGTCTTTATTTTTATTACGAAAAAGCCCAGGATACACGCCTACCATCGCTACAGCCATATCCTCCCGAAGCATCACCTACCGCCGGCTGCCAGCGCTGCAGCGAGAAGGGCCCCGCTCCCGCCGGCACCGGCCGTGCCAGGGAGGAAAGGCCTGTCTGCACCGGGGCTCGCCGGGAACCGGGAAGCTTCCGGCAGAGCGGAGAATTACATGGCAACCCTCGCAGGTCCAGCGTTTCAAGTTTGATTAACCAGAAGGGAAAATTCTTTGCCTATCAGTAATGCCAGAAGCCCGGAAAAAGCAACTGTTCTTTCCCCTTGGGTGGGGGTCAGAAAACGGACGGGTACGCAGAGCTCCCCGGCGGGCACCTCGCGGGCGCTCCTGAGAGCACCCGGGGACACCTGGGCGAAGCAAATGGAGACGGGAGCGAATAAAAGCATTTTTCATGCCGACAGCGTTCTTTTTATTTGGGAAGAAAAGCTCCTATTGAGCAAAAACATATAATCTACTTAAAGAAGCTGACTGGGCTGAAGAAAATAGATGGGGCAAAGGAAAACAAAAGAGCAGTTCACATAGCCGGGGCGGCGAGCTCCCCTCTCGCAGAATGCCTGGGGATGAGTCTGCATGGAAGGTGCTACAGAAGTTGGCAGCAGAGTCTGCTCTATCTGCTCAGCACACTCCGACATTCCGCTCAGAGACAAACCCAACCCTTTAAAGAAGCTGTTTAAACAAGCCTAACATTAAGCTGCAGATCCTCAGAATGAAAGCTTTGTTCTCACTCAAGAGATGGATCAGGTTGGTATTTATACTGAAGCAAACCCTCACTGCGATTTCATCCAAGGCAGAGCGCAGGTGGTCGTGACATCAATCGCAGGAGCGAGCCAGCCCAGTGCCGGTCCTCGCCGCTGTTCCTAACAACCGGAGCGG